AAATAATGTTAAATGCAATTACACTTACGGAAGGAAAATGTCCAAGTACGATTCTGAACACCAGGAATTGGTTCACCTAATTGACTGTCCTTTACAAAACCACTATCAATATTTATATAATAAGTTGCTCCTGGATTGTTGAAAGTACTTGGTAAAACTGACAGACTGAGTGTATTGCCATTTATGCTACTCTGATTAAGAGGGCATTTGACTGCTGTACAAACAAATCGGGGAATATCTTGAGTGCCATCGGGAACCTTAGGATTCACTTGATATATAGTAATGTTCCCGCTGGAACTGGTAACATTACGATCATATGTCAATTCGATACTCTGCGCGCTATTGTTAATAGAGGTCCGAGGTAATGGTGATACAGACTTAACGTTTCGACTGAGTCCTAAAACGTTCAGGTGAAAAAATGTTAACTAGAAAGCATACGAATTTCAGCAAAGAACAATAATACTTACTATCGTCATAGAATCTATACAAATCTGTACTAATTACATTCAATACATTATTGACGAAATAAAAAATCACATATGTATTATTTTCTAGTAGTACAGAAGAGCTAACACCCTGCGCGGGTATTGTTAATGGATTTCCAAACCCCCAATTCTCTTTAAAGATACCGTTGTCATCAAGTATATATCCGTTGATAGTAACTGAAGAACCATTATATGTATTAAAAGTTTCTAAATATCCGCCGTAGAATAAAGAATAAAGTTTTGCTGGAGAGTTTGCTTGATTTCCAGTCGAGTCACCCAAGGGAAGTTCTTGGATGTTTATTACAGAACCTGATGAGAGATAATTTACGAGTTGATAATAAATTTTTGTGGAAGTGCTGTTGCCGGATGTTGTATTCACAGGTGTTCGAGCAAGACATATATAGCCAATACCCTGATTTGAGCTACTGCAAATCATGGGCAGTGGGCTTGCGACGGAAGATTGGAAGAAGAGAAAAGGACCAACTTGATCGACTTCACCGTTAAGAAAAGGTCTAAAGAAAGTTACATCAACACGAAAATGGGGATCATAAGTTGATGATGTAGCATTTGTCACATTGTATCCACCAATGACTGCATATCCACCATCTAAAGTAGGCATGGCAACGGACCAAAGTTTAGGACGTTCTTTTCTATCAATCTCTTGAATTACTTGTTGCGTGTTTAATCTTGCGAAAGTTCCATTTACATCTCTAATAAGGAAAATAGTAATTAACTAGATGGATTAAAGGGAACAAATTAAATGACAAGAAGTGAAGGATTATAATTACGGAGCAGTATATTGAGTCCAAATTAAACCATTGCTTTGATTGTCATCAATAAGAAATATAAAACCTTGTCCCAAAATAGAGCTAACAATTATTCCACCCGGATTTAGTAATGGTTGTCCTGGTATAGGAAAGTAACCAGGACCAAAAAGATAGTTACTTCTATTAAAATGTAAATAAATTAATACCATTAATAATGTGCTGAGGGTTTAAATTCTGAACAATCTATCAATTAAAATACCTACTGATAAATTTTTCCATTAGTGTCCATCAATAATCCTTGCACCTGAGCATTTGAAAAAGTTTTTGTATCATCAGCCGTAAAATATGTAATTATTATAAAATCGGATAGTATGGATTGTATCGGGTAAATCCAAATTCCATCAACACCATTATCAAAGGAATCGCCACAAAAATTAAAATCCGGAAATTCAAAATTCACGGGGATTTTACTAATAGACCCATCAGTTTTCACTAATCGTAAAACCAAATTTGATTGGTAGCATGAAGTACTGGTAGAATTAGCTGTTGAAAAACGTAAAATTATGTCGCCATTAGGATAATGCGCAGAAGCTATTAACTGGAGTCCTTTTAGTTCGTCGTCCGTATACGAGATTTGTATTTGATATGGCGTAACTAATATTTGAAAAAGTGACGTAATGATACAACACCATCCACATATATATACGAAAAACAGGCGTAGAGAAACCATTTGGTTGTTTTCTTGCTGCTTTTCTGTTCTTCAAGGAACTAGCGGCGATTAAACAAGCAGGTACACAATAATGTTTTCACGTTCCAAATTTTTCACTGTTGTAAAGGGTAAATGGAAAAAAAAAGGTGACTACGAAGATTTCATGAATAGCCGCGTTTCTCTTGAAATACATAAATAAGTTTAAAAACATATCTATATATCGGTTATAAACTCGTATGACCAGAGCACAGCTTATTGTTGGACATTTTTTTTCTGCATAGAATAAATGGAACCCATAGACCTTTCTTTGCACCAGGGGGAACGGAATAGTGTTTTTTGTGTGTTACATGAAATGACAGTACCAGAACGAGCTCAATAGAGTATTCCACTGTCTGGCTGAGCATTTTTGTGTTTCAGGCTTTGCATGGTAATATTTCAAAACAAAGATCTTTTGAACCATTTCCATTATCGTTATTGTTATTATAACATTAATTTGGGGGTGCATGAAATACAAGCGACTCTTTGATATAATAAAGGCATCCTATATCGAGAGTTTATAAATAAATTTACTATATAGAGAAAAATTTAATATGGATCGTTTTGAGCTCAACTTTATCAAGAGGTTTAATTACATGTATATAGTTTACCATAATGGGTGTATGCATATGCAGATAAATTTTTGTTTGTTTTTTTTCTATTACATGTGTTTGAGATCATGTATAATACTGCAATCCTCAATCCAAAAGAAAAAATAATTATTAATCTACAATGTGCGTAAGAGGGATCAAATATGCTGGATTCTTAACAGGGACAATAAACCTGTATTTATAAAAAAATGCTTCCTTTAAATAAACACCCCGTTTATATCATCCTCCGGGAATATCATTGATATGAATAATATTGTTAGTAATTGGAATTTGAAACGTTTTTTCGATGAGCCAGACCAATCTTATTATGATCTTGATCAAAAACCACGTAGAAGAGCTTAAAAGAGGAAGAGAATGACATAGTTAATAAATGACAAACGGATGTTTTACCAATGATCTCATGCGATAGAAATGATTGATACCTTGAAGAAAACAGCACCGAGCACATAATCTGAATCACTTTGTTGAGCACCGCCAATGCAGAGACCAGTCGGATCTATGTCATTTGGTAGGCCAGTTGCGTTTACTGGTTCTTGAATGAAATCTCGTATCGGGATAGTGAAATTCTCCTTCTTGAATTGTAACGTCACATCATATTTATCATCGGTAAGGTTACATGGCAACACCCAAGTTCCATCCACAAACAATTGGGATCCAGGTATTGAGTCATAAATGCGCTCGACTATTGAACAAGGTGCGAATATGTAACTTGCACCAGTATCGAAAATAAATGGGCCTCCGACTTTCAAGTCTCTATCACCGACAAATATATCGCGTAAACGTACTGTCCAAAAGTAATTTGAGGTGCCATTTAGCCAGAGAATATCTAAGGATGTATCGTATTCACCAAATGTTATGTCGCCTCCGCCACCTAGTTCTTGTTTTATGAAATTTATAGCGAATATTTTTTTCGTGATCTATTATCAAATAATTTTATTAATATATACACATATATGATAAAAATCAAAAGTTTGAGGATGGTAAAAGAAATGAATACTTACCAATTTTTGTTTGAACATTGTAGTAACAACTGTATCAACACCGAAACCTCTAGGTTGTACAATTTTCTCGAGTCCAAGGCCCAAAACACCACCGAATTGAATTACGGAATTTTGAATATCAATAGTTGCCCCGATGTTTTGTTGTGTAACTGCAAGTCCATCCAATGTGACAACATCCACAGCCAAATCATATACAAGACTGAATCAATGCGAAAAAAATTATTTTCATTGATTACTTAACAATAATTTTTTTTATATTACTAAAAATTACTTACGAAGTTCCACCCGCGAACTGAATACTATATGAGCCATTACTAACACGATCGAAAGTGCTTGATTTGTGAGTGTTAAAAAAAGTGGTACTTTCCGTTAATTGTCGACAAGCTGCATCACAATCAGTTGTAGTGACGAGAACGTTCGATGATCCAGTGTCTATTAATAATTCAAATTGTTGTGGTGGTGTTCCAAAAGAGACTAGTGCAAGCCACTAATTATATGATCCGATGATTTATTTTAATTAATTAATTAATTAATTAATTAAAATAAATAATTGATGAATCAATGATTTATTTACCTGAACATTTTTACCAACTGTTCTAAGACCATTGCTTCCGCGTCTTATAACAGTGCCGGTTCGCGTCACTAATGGCACTCTTGGTAATGCGACCGTAATTCCAAATATAGCGGACAAAACCGCCAGTAATAGACATCCAAATATTGATGATTTCATTATTGTTATTATCTTAAATAACTATTATTTATTTTTTTTTGGGAATATTATTTGGGAGTTCTTCTTTCACCGTCGCTCTTTGGTCTCCGTTTCACGTTTCTTTTTCGTTATTAGTCAATACTATAATTATAATGAAAAGTCGAGAAAATTGGATTATGAAACCAAGTTATTTTTGCTCAAATCGATGTAAATAAATAGGAATTGAATAAATAATGGATTATTACGAAATAAAAATTTCTTAGCGCGCGTTTATAAGATATTCACCGCGCTTTTATGTCTAATATTTTAATGTATCAAGCTACACTTTCTCTACCTCGCATTCATACATACTAAGAGATAATAAATGATAAATACCAAAGTAAAAACCGTCAAAAGATCCGGTCGGAGATAGAGTTGGAAAGAACGACAACGAACAAGAGTATCAAACAAGCAAACGTATAATTTTTAAGGAAACGTTGTTGTTATTGTTGTTTTTTGCTTGCTTGGTTTTTATATTTACACAAATTGATTTTATATTGTTATAAAGTGTTCGTGTATTGTGTTTCAACATTTTAATATATAAATTATTAAAGGGTTGGGGTATAGTTTCTCTATATCATAAATATATATTGTTTCCCGTTATTTTTTTTGCGAAACATGCTACACACACAGCCACTTACTTCTTTAAACACAGCCTTGCTTAAAAAAATATAGGGACCCAGCAGAGAAACTATCACGCAATCATAAATCACACAACTCAAATCACAATTCTATTTTTATCTAGCAGAAAAATCCGACCGTTCAATGATCGTCACCAGACGAACTTCTATAATAAAGCTCTGTGTATTTAATTGACATGGAAGATAGTTCCTGGAAGAATAATTTTCTCTACACTTTGGACACCGGATTAAGTTTTTTCATTAAGATTATTTTTTGACTATCTTCGCGAGAACGTTCGACCATTCTTTCGGGCAACTTGTAAGTTAAAATGGATTAACGTCACGTGTAATCGACCAATCTCGATAACAAAGTGAGCACCAACTACTCGGGAAATTACAAAAAAAAACTTCATTGTAGTACAGGTTGTCGGGGGGTCGGGACAAAATGTGGGAGCTCTATCGAAATATGATCGAACGTGATTTATGCGAACTTTATAGTTAGATGAATTTTTTTTTACCAATTAAAGAAAATCAGTCAGTGCAATATACTATTTTCTGTTTAAGATTTGATTTATATTAAAAACTCTAGCTACCCAATACAAAATATAGGATCTAACTTGTTTTTAACTAATGATCCAAGATTCATTATAATAATCGTAGAATACAATACCTTTGGATGGATGAATAATAAAATAATTGCCTTTTATTTTAATAAACTAAATGCTGCGTATTTTGATGGACTTAATTTATGTCAAGCAAGAAATAATGAAATAATAAACGATTTTTTCCACCACAAAAAATCATTCTAGAGTGATTAAATTATTGATTAACATCTCGATCAATAAATTGATCTAAGGACGCCCGATCTGACCATTTCTTGAGACGGCAGTTTGACCATAATCATCGCCATTCTTGAAAAGGAATAATTTATTGTTGAGAATTTTTGGAGTAGTAGAAAAGCCGCCGCTAACACCGCCAGCACCAATTCCAGTACCAACTACGATTGGACCATATGGAGGATTCTGAGAGGTTGCATTGTTATCAGAAGAGGTTGCATTGGGTGCTGTGTTGTCACAATTCAAACTAATCTTCCTAGTTGTGGCTTTGAATGGCAATACGGATCCGTTGTTAAAGAAATCCAACTTAATCAACGATGTCAAATTTTGAACAGTATTTCCTTCAGCATCTTTAACTATGAATTCGTATCTCGCGGTGGTATCCTGGAACCCGGACGAAAATTCTCCTTGTAGACTGGTTTGACCGCATGGATTTTGGAAGAAGTTTATCGTTCCGTGAGGTTTGTTTGGGTCTCTGTTGTCGGCGCCGAATGTTGCAGCAGCAAATACACACTTACATTGTGCTTTTGGAACTCCGTAGGTGTCAACGCCGTATTCGTTATCACGTTTAAGTAATGCCTCAAATAATGCATCACGCTCTATTAATGCTGAAGCAGGTGTGGAGAATAAAGTGATAATAGAGACTAACAATAGCCCAAGGAATACTTTGGCCGCTGTAAGATTATTCATTTTTGACGTTTCTATTTTATTTATTATTATTATTATTATTATTATTATCTTTATAATTATAAATATTTTTGCTGCAAAAATTATTCGTAAAGTATTTTATTTCGTAATAATTATTTTCTGATTATTCTTTTGATGTGGTTGTGGATTGTAGTCTTCGCTTTCTTTCAATCAACAATTTTCGTAAAAAAAAAAGCAACAACAATATTAACAAAGAACAACAGCTACAACTAAATAAATAGTAGACTGACAATAAATAAATTTAACACGTATAAATATGTATTGTATATACTGTATTGTATTTTTTTATCGGAATGAACGACATACCACAAAGCAACAACATTGCCTCTTTTGTGTTGTACCCTGGAAACAAAGGAACAAGAATTCTCTATAAAACGAGGGCGCGAATCGATATACTTACTATTTTTAAAGAAACTTTGATTAGATATTTCCATTTTCACATTAGGTTATTTTATGAATGGGTGTATACATGCACGAAATGCATAGCCCCCCACTTATGTAATATAAGCCTCTTTTCTTGATTATTCACAAAATGGCAAAATATAAGTGTACACCCTTTGAGTTAGGGTGCTTTTTTATTATTATATGTGATTATCTGGAGTGTGACTATAAAAAATGCACTCGGAGATGCAAACATGGTTTTCCGGCTAGAATCATGGGATCAAAGAATTCATTAGAGATCAGCAATTTTATGGATTTTCTCATTAGAAATGTAACACGAAAATGGCTTGGATTTTCTCAATAATGCTTAATTATTGAGGCTGTAATTTATAATTTACCACACACAGGAAGCTTGACGTTTTTCACATTGTGTGTCTTATAATAGCGAAAGTTATTTTTACTCACATGATACCATTCCTATAGAATATAAAATAAGTATTACAATCAAGCAAAAGTTCGTAATAATCACTGTATAAGAGAATGGTTATATCCAGTTTTGGCTGTATATGTATGTATAATCATTTGAATGTCTTAAAAAAAAATTCTTTACCCATATGGACTGATATAATATGGTAACTTTTTTTGAACTTGAATGCTTCGTTGGAGTCTTTTGAAGATGAACCTAAATATATAGTGTTCCAAGTTGATATTATATTAGGTCGCCTATTTATACATACTGTAGTAGTAACACACGGGGATACTCTAAAAAGGAAAATTTGACATATGTGTGTAATAATGTAAGGGTCAGTAACTTAATTTAGATTCGATACACTACCAGTAAATGAAGATTATCCGTTATTGTAGGTTGATAATCTTTCATTTTTATTTAAAATTTTCTATTCAGATGAAACATAGAAATGTTATCATTTAGCGTTCCGTTATTTCTAATTTGGTAAATTTACAATTATCAAAGACATTCATTAGAATTGATTATTTTATTTGACAATCTGATCCTTATTTTAATAGTATTTCTTATTCATAGACTTGTTAAAGGCAAGAATAGTTTCGTAATCAAAAAGTCATTTTATAATATTAGTTCAAAAATTAACTTTGAATTATGGCCAATTAATTTGATTTGTAAAATTTAATGCGCTTGGCTAAATCACTAATTTTTATTAATTCAAAACGAGTTATGATTCTGAACTATCGGCATAAATCAAGGGATCAGATGCCAACATCATGAATTAAGAACAAATTTTTAAAATAATTAGCTTGTCTTTAATACGAGTTATGACGTATTTGATAACCTTGTAATCGGAATTTCGGTAATTGGCACTTTTAGGGCACCGATCAATCCGAGGTGGGAACAAATAAATATCTTGGAGTACTAATTAAAATCAGTGAGGCAAGTTTACATAAAATCTGTCTTTCCGACCCTTAATAGTATTGAATACATATCACGGCTTTAACAGTTGTTTTAAGGCTATTTGGGATGAAATTCACTTATTGAGTTAAGGACAAAAGTCAAGTCAAATTGTTTTCAACTGCAAAAATCAAACTAAATTGCTATTAATCTTAACCCTAATCCTACAGTTAATTGAAATTATATTATTATTTCGCATTTCGCGATTTGATTGGTTTACCCCTTAAAAACCACGTGATATATCATTGTAATTCTGCTATGGATCACGTGTTTTTGAGGGTAAACCAATCAAATAACAAACGTAAATACATGTATTAACTCGACTTATCTTACGATTTGATTGGTTTACCCTTAAAAATCACGTGAAGGCACTTTATGGCTAGTGTACTAAACTACGTCATCAAAAATGTCCACGTGCTCGGAAAATTTCATCTCGCCAATTTTAATTGAAGATTGGCGTTCATTTACTGCACGATATGACAAATGAAAATTCAGAAATTTATTATATATAATTTTAAATCGGACATTACTTTTTTCGGCGACTGTACAGTCGCTCTCCATACTTTTGGCCAGCTTGGATTTAGTCTCCAAATGCATATTAGCTGGGTCCCAAATGTATGCATTTAGAGGAATGCCTCTTTTTGTATCTCTTCTTTTTTATACACAAATTCGCAAACAAGACGTATCGAGAAAACCACGGATGCAATCAGGTACTTGGAAAAATTCTGATATATAGATATCGGTATAAAACGGAATTTTGAAACAAAAGGAAATTTTTATATAAATAAATAAATCAATAAATACATAAATAAATAAATATATATATATATATATGACAGAACCCACAGAAAGTATCGCCCGATTTGAAATTATATAGTAAAATATATATAAAATTTTTTTTCATGCTTTTATAATTAAAACAGTTCTTGCATCTTAAGTCGTTCAATCACTATAATCGATTAACTTTAAAATGGTATAAAGTTAGGGAATAATAACTAAAAGAAATATAACGATAAACTTGTATATAGCTTGAAAATTCCACTTTTTTAGATGTAAAAGCGTGGGAAAAAATTTTTTTGCATATAAAAAGCGTGGGAAAAAATTTTTTTTCCATTACAAACAAAAAATGGTCTTTGCACTTTAAGTCGTCCGCAGCTGGGAATCATATGCCTAAAAATATAATTCATGAGCTTTAAAATGATATGAAATTTAAAATGATATGAAATTTAAAATGATATGAAATTTAGAAATAATTACTAGAAAAAAACGTGAATATGTATATAGCTTGAAAATTTCCATTTTTTATATGTTTTACTATATAATTTTGAACCGGGCGATACTTTTTGTGGGTACTGTACATATGCATACGTACAACTTGTTTTATAGATTGTTAAATTATCTCTATTCATTTAAACAAAATTATCGTTACGTTTATTTTATGAAAAAAAGGCCTCCTAAGCAAAACGAATAACTGCATATAGTCGTGCAAAAGCTTTTTGTATGATAATGGAATTTTATTACATGTATGTCGGTTTGTAGTCATTTCGCATATTAATACAAGAAGTCATAAAAAAATTAAAAGAAAATCATAAACTTGTAAAAATAACACAACAAATAATAATGTATCTATGACACTTTTGCAAGAATAAACAGGTTTAATTTAATGAATTGAATTGATTTTTGGAACAAACTTTCATATCAATTAGTGAAATAGATATCAAATTTATTAGTTACCGTTTTCATCATGTAGCGGTAATTCAAATTTTTCCGTGCCCCTTATGGGCAGATCGTGTGATTCCGATCTGTCTCCGATCTTACAGCAATCATCCCAATGTGTATTTTATTTTTGCGTTACACATTAATATTGCGATTTGATTGGTTAAGGGGGTTTCGGATGATTTTTCTCGGATCGGAGACAGTTCGGAATCACATGATCTGCTCTTTCAACTTTGTCTAAAATAATGGAATTTATTTTTATTAATCCGTATAAAATACATGTATAATAATCCAGGATTCATAGTTCCAAAAATACAATAAAAAAAGAGATATTGATACAGAATTAAATAGCAAACTCGAGGAAAAGAGCTTTTAGATTATCGAAGAGAAACATATTCCAGTAAAAGGCAATGTTTTCTATAAAATTTCACTATCGCTATCTAATTTATTATTATTATTATTATTATTAACATTATTATTTGATTCAAAATTTCAAAAAAGAGGTTCTAGATTTCTCTGAGTTTACCAATCTAAAGTTCACAAGTATCCACTTCTGTGGGGGTCACAGTCGAAGTAGTCGAAGTAACAGTAGACGGTGGCGATGAAACAGTAACAGTAGATGGTGGCGATGAAACAGTAACAGTAGATGGTGGTGATGAAACTGTCACAGTTTGTCCGGACTGAGTGGAAATAATAGTAGATGCGGGCTGGATTTGAGTCACAGTTGAAGTCAATTGAATGGTCCGAGTTGTTAAAGTAGTTATTATTGTATTAGATTGAGTAATTGTAATAGGACTGGTGATTACTGTTTGAGTTGTAATAACTGTTGTAATAACTGTTGTTGGACTTGTCACTATTGTGCTAGTTGATTGAGTTGTAGTTGTAGTTGGACTAGTTATTGTGGTTTGAGTTGTGGTTTGAGTTGTAGTCAGAGTCGTAAATGTGGTTGGTTTAGTAATAACTGTAGTATATGTAATTGTATTTACATTCGTCTCAGTTTGAGTTGTTAGGGTTGT